TGGAGGTGAGCAAAGAGCCATCTGAACGAGCCGGGTGGAGGTGAGCAGGCTGAGGCGGCAGAACCCAGCCTGAAACCGGAAAGAGCTGCCCACAGTGGGGTGGCCAAATACATCCTCCCTACAGCCTGGGAGGGGGAGCAAGGCCACAGGCACCTGTGCGCATGTGCCTCTCTAGGTGGGGGTGAGCATGTGCACATGCGTGTGTTTTGATCCACGCGAATGCACGTGTGTGTGTGAGTGGCTGTGTGCAGACATGTGAGTGCATGTGTGTGTGTGCACGTGTGTGTGCACAGATACACGTACACGCACACACGTATGCACATGCATGTATAGAACACGTACATTTTATGCAGGTGTGCGGATATGTGTCTACGAACATGTGCGTTGGTATGTGTGCACATAGTATACGTGTGTGCATGAATATGTGTGTGTGCGTGTGAATACACGTGTGTTCATGACTGCCTGCTTATGGAAACATGCACGTGTGTGTGTGCACACGAATGTCCTGTGTAATTTACATGGCTGTGTGTGCATGTGTACGCAGCATGCATGAATGTGTGTCCAAGCCTACGTGGTTACGCCAGCATAGGCATGCACAGAAATGTGTGCACGTGAATGTGCATGTACACACACACACGAGTATGCTTGTGCATTTGCACCTGCGTACATGTGCACATCTGTGTGTGTGCACGCATGCCCGTGTGCAGGGAAGTGGTTCAGGGAGACAAGCTCCCATCCATCAGGATAGACGCTGCTCGTGGAACACAAGGGCACTGCACCCCAGGTGTGCACCTGGATTCCGTCTCACAGCACCCGGGGCTCAGGACCCGGTGTCCCGTGGCTGTGTGGTCCTGGCTGGACCAACCCTCCCTCTGGGCCCCACTCATCATGGGTGGGAGGAAAGGCAACTCGGCCTTGGCAGCCCCAAGGTGGTTCACAGCTATGTGATTTTCCTTCTAGGAGGTCCCACAGCTCTCCCCAGCGCCCTCACCCCTACCCCCTCTACCAGTGCAGCCTGAACCCTTACAACACCCTCCCTGTCCTGCCAAGCCCAGGCCTGCCCACCAGCAACTCACGGGGACAGGCAGCCTTCCAGGCACATGCTGTTTTGCTTGTTACAGGATAATCAGGAGCCGTTCGTCAAGCCTCAGTTTCAATGTCTGGGGTAAGAGGCCTCTCCAGCTCCTTGTTGAACAGCTGCAGTCCCTGGGGCCTCCCTCGCACACAGGCAGGGCTGCGTTCGGTGCAGCCCTGAAGCCCAGCCAAGGGCTCCTCCAGCCCGAGGACTCTGTAGGGGATCCAGCTCTCCTCTCCCCTTCTGGGCCCTGACCCACAGGAGAGGCGCTTCCTCCTGCCTCCCTCCTGGGTTATGCCAGGGAGATGCTGCTGGCGGTCCTGAGGTCAAAAGGCCAGCCAAGTGTCCCCGGGGGCCTGAGTCACTGGGCCGGTCAGGCACTCCGGATGTCCCCAGCCTGGCCTGGCGAGCCGCTTCCTGGGCAGTGGGAAGTCCTGTCTCCTTCGGGCCCCAGGTGCTCTGTGTCCTTTTTCCTCCAAATTCTTCGTGCTCTGCTGCCCTTGAGTATGAACATGTGAGATGTCCAGGGCACCCAGGACCCTGGATGTCCCAACACCCCCTGGCATCCCCCAAAGTGCTCCTCACAAGATGAGAACCCCCAGGGTCTGGAGGAGGTCCAAGTGGCTGGTCAGCTGCTGGGGGAGGGAGCTCCCCCAAACCTACATCTGCCATTTCCTTTTTTGGATCCTCCGCTGGTTCTCTGTGTCTCCAGGACAAAGCCCCTCCCGCTACCCCGGGGGAGCACAATTGTTAGGGGCTTCTCACTTCCTAATAACTTTCCTCTAGTCGCCAAACGCAGCTCAGAGGTCACCTCCTCCAGGAAGCCTTCCTTGACAATTCCCCTCCCAGCCTGGGGGAAGAGCTCCAGGGCACTGAGGGCCTTCACGGCAGCATGGCAGTGTGTGGTACCAACTGTCGCAGACGGCGGAAGGCCTGTTACAGACAAGGGCCTGTGCCTGCCCACTGCGGAAGATGCGAATGTGTGCGGGTCTTCCCGGCAAGCACACTCCAGGCCTTCCAGACCAGGGGGCCCTTTCACAGGGATGCTGGCTTTCTACCTTCTCTGGGCCCCGTGCCTCTCACAGGCAGTCATGGCTTTGCTGCCAAAAAGTGCATAAAAGCCCAGGATTGGCAAGGTAGGTGTGGGCCTCCTTGGGCAGTCCCACCCTCCAGAATCTCTGATCACTGGCCTCGCCCTGGCCTGACTCCCCCTCCTCCGTGTAAGGAGGCTAACAAGGATGCTGGGGCTCCCGGTGGGCATCTCTGCTAAGACTCTAGTGCTCTCCTCCATAAGACCCTTTGAGCCTCAGGGCTCAGAGAAAAGAGAAGCAGCCCCAAAGCCACGCACATTTCTAGGCATCACTAAGGGGATGCTCTAATCCTTCCCTGTGACACCTTCCTAGAACCCAAAGGTATCCCACCCCGTGGCTCCCAGCCACAGGAATGACCCTTACCCTCTCATCTGAGGCTGCAGGGAGAGCTACTGGCCTGCCTGCGTGCTTTTCTGGGCTGCTGGGAGGAAAGGCCCTCCCCTCCTCCTAGCAAGAAATGCCAGGCTTGAGAACTCCAACTTCATCCCCAGGGTCTGTCTCCCACGGACCTCGAGCTGCCTGGAGGTGGGAACCAGCACAGGCACACGACAGGGAACGACCATGCACGTTCGTGGAATGAACGCACAGAGACATAAGGCAGGGGTAAGCCGGGGTAGGGGAGATACCCCAACAGCTTGCCCCTAAGCCCGCAGGAATGAGGCACCCACGCAAACCCGCCAGTCATCCGGGAAATTCATTCTGGGTGTTTGTCAGAGGCGATGATTTTGAACATCCCCTCCACCCTTTAAAAGCAGGGCCCCGGAGCATGAGAATTAAACTTCAATGATTGCCAACATGGATGCGGAGCCTGGGAGCCTGCCCAGGGCTTCCACTGGCACCGCCGTCATGATTCATGCTCCAGCAGCGTTTGGAAGTGGGCAGAGAAGGGAGCTGAGGCTGGGGGCAGGGACGCGGTTCTGCCCTGTAACACCGACCAGAACCAGAGATCGGCACTCCGCAGGACCCCCGCGCACCCAGACAGCGTCGCGTCCTCCTCCAGGCTGCGAGTCGCTGGCTCTCCAATCAGGCCGCGGACCCCGAGCCGACCGGTGCTGCGCGCGAGTGTGCGCGCCCGCGTGTGCGTGCGCGTGTGCCCGGGGGAGGCTAGGAGGCTCTTGTCTTAGAAAGAGCAGGTTTCTGGAACTCACCGCCCAGGCCAGCCGGCACTCAACCCCGTCCCGCAGACTGCAATCGGCCCTGGAGGGGGCGCCCTCGCCGTGCGCGCGCGGCTCGCGCCACCGCCCCGGACTCCTCCCCGGCGCCGCGCGGGCAGGTTCGCCGAGGCGGCCGCGGGCTCCGGCTCCCGGGCCCGCTCCCCCCCGGGCCGGCCGCGCTGGCCTGCCCGCCAGGCCACCCCCTCCCGCCCGCGCCCCGCCCCGCTGCGCAACTCTACCCAAGTTGGAAGCCGAGGCCGGGCGGCTGCACTCGCGCCGAGCGCACGGCGGCGGCGGCGGCGGCG